AATTCAGGGTTAGGTATACAAACGTTGATTATGCAGGTCCCCTTGTTGATGAGGTGTGCCCCTCCCTCCCCAAGCAGTTTCCCTCAACTGCCAATCCCACCCCCCCCCACAAGTTCCATTTCTTAACATCCTCAAACATCTTTTGTTTTCTCACTTTAGATGGATAACATGCCAACATCATGACAAGGTTTGAGGGGGACACGTCTCACACATGAGCGTGAAAAGCCAATCATCACACTAATGAACCACGAAAGGATCTCCTGAAACTTCTTTTTAGCAATATATTAGGGCAAGTTATGCCAGCTCCTGTAACAAATAGCCCCTAAGTCTCAGTGGCATAATGCAATCATCATTTCTTTTTGCACCCATCACAGACCATTGTGAATCAAGAGTGAGGGGGACTTTCCCCCACGTTGTCTTGGAGGAATTCTGGCTGAAAGAGGCTCTACCACCATCATTATGGCTTCCAGACCAGCCTGAAAATTGATATCCAACCAGCACACAGGAGGAGAATAAAGAATCAAACAGGCCAGGCTCTATGGCTCAGCCTGTAATCCCAGCACTTAGGGAGGCCAAGGTGAGTGGATTGCCTGAGCCCGCAGGTTCGAGACAGGCCCAGGCAATTTGGTGAGACCTTGTCTGCATAATAAATAAAAAATTAGGTGTAGTTCCTGCTACTTGGAAGGCTGAGGTGGAAGGATCGCCGGAGCCCAGCAGGTCGACACTGGGGTGGCCGTGAGGGTGCCATTGCACTCCAGCCTGGGCGATGGAGTGAGACTCCAACTCAAAAAAAAAAAAAAGGAATCAAACAGAACACAACACTCAGAAGTAGCATTTTTCTCTACCAATGACATTGACTAGAACTCAATTCACATGATACTACCTAACTGGGATGGCTAGTAAATGTAGTTATACTGTGTATCTACAGAAAGAAAAAATAATTTAATGAATACATAACATTGTTTCTGCCACAATCAGCTATTTTTCTTTTCTTTTTTAAAATTTTAAACAAAGTTTATTAGAGAAAGGAGAGAAAAGAGAGACATGCCAGAGTTAATAATTTTTCTTTTTAAATATATTAGGATCTCCTGCTCTTCACTGATCTTTTACAGTGATCCTACGGTCCAGGCTGCACAGGTATTATTCTCACTTTGCAATGAGTAAAATGCACTGCAGAGAGAAGTTAGCTGACTGACTAAACAACAAGTTAACTGACATGGATAGTAAATGATTAAGCAGGAGCTAGAGCCAGCCTTCCCATGGTCCTCCACCTGCTGTCTCCCATCCCCACCAAAGGCAACATGGCTTGCTTCAGTAACTTGAATCAATCATAGCTTCAGTCAATTAGCAAGTTATACTTACAGATTTCTCACACCACTTATTTTCTAAACGAAATTAAAAGTTCACCATCAACTTAGTTTATATGCGGTCATAAAAAGTTATAAAGATTATGTGATGGTGGTTTTCCTGGTTTTGTTTTTAGGAGACAGAGTCTCGCCCTGTTGGCAGGGCTAGAAGGTGTGATCTCGGCTCACTGTAGCCTTGAACTCCTGGGCTCAAGAGATCCTCCCGCTTCAGTCTCCCAAGAAGTTTGGACTTCAGGTATACCACCACACCCAGCTAATTTTTTAATTTTCTGTTGCCCAGGCTGGTCTCAAACTGCTGGCTTTGAGTGATCTTCCTGCTTTAGCCTTTTTTTTTTTTTTTTTTTTTTAGTTGGAGTCTCACTCCATTGCTAGAGTGCAGGCAGTGGCACACTCATGGCCACCCCAGTGTTGACCTGCTGGGCTCTGGAGATACTTGTGCCTCAGCCTTCCAAGTAGCTGGAACTATAGGCATGTGCTACCACATGCCCAGTTAATGTTTTTTTTTTTTTTATTGCAGAGACGAGGTCTCACCAAGTTGCCTGGGCTGGTCTTGAACCCTCAATCTCAGGCAACCCACTCGCCTTGGCCTCCCAAAGTGCTGGGGTTACAGGCTGAGCCACCAAGCCCAGTCCTTAGCCTTTCAAGTAGCTGGGACTGTGCATGCAAATCACTGTAACTGGCAGTGTGATTAAATTGTAAGGGAAATTTAATGGAAGGTAATATACAACTGAAGGCATACATGGATTCAAATTTCAGCCAGATGTATTTATAATCTTCTTATCCTACCTGGTAACTGTCTCTTAAATTCTCAACTATTTTCTTTAGTACTTTGTTAATATCCTCAGATCTATTTTTCAGTTTGCTAATTTCATCTCCATCTGTGTCAAATCCACTCCTTAATCTGTTCAATGATTTTTAAAGTCCAAATGATTATATTCATTTATTCCTAGATGTTCTAACACTTTCCTTTTCAAATCTAGTTGTTTTTTTTCCCACAGTACTTTACGCTTAATATATATATATATTTTTTGAGTTGGAGTCTCACTCTGCCACCCAGACTGGAGTGCAGTGACCGCTCCCGGCCACCGTAGCCTCGACCTGCTGGGCTCCGGCGATCCTTCTGCCTCGGGCTTCCAAGTAGCTGGAACAACAGGTGTGTGCTACCACACCTGGCTCATTTTGATTTATTGTAGAGATGAGGTCTTACCAAGTTGCCCAGGCGGGTCTTGAACCCGCAGGCTCAGGCAATCCACTCACCTCAGCCTCCCAAAGTACTGGGATTACAGGCTGAGCCACCGAGCCCGGCTACGCTTAATATTTTTAAATCCTTTTTTATGTCTTCATTTTGAAAAATACCTTTCAAAGCATCTGTCATATTACTCAAATTATCTGAAATCCTAGGGGTCTAATTGTTTTTAAAAATCTGTTGACTTAGCTGGTCTCGGTGGCTCAGCCTGTAATCCTGCGCCTTTGGGAGGCTGAGGTGAGTGGATTGCCCGAGCCCGCGGGTTCGAGACCCGCCAGGGCAGGCGAGACCTCATC